TAGAAGGGACCCCTAAGGGCCATCTAGCCCAACCCACTTCTGTCAAGAAGAAAGATGGAATTACTGTTATTGTTGATTACTATTACTATTGATTATTAGGTTCATATTACTTGGAAAGGACTACAAAGGGGACATCCAGTCCACCTCCCTTCTCTCAGGCAGGAGGACCCAACTCAAGCCCTCCTGACAGATGGCCATCCAGCCTGTCATAAAAACATAGGGTAATATTGGAAGGGGTCCCTAAAGGCCATCCAACCTAACCCCCTTTTGTCAGGAAGGACACTATTAAAGTCCTCCCTGCAGATGGTCATAGAATCATTGAATAATTTTGGAAGGGACCCCTAAAGGCCATCCAGTCTACTTTTCCTTTTGCCAGGGAAGACATCATCAGAACACTCCCAGCAGGTGGCCATCCAGGCTGCCACAGAACAATATTGGAAGGGACCTCCAGAGGTCATCCAGTCCAATCCCTTTCTGACTGGAAGGACAGCAGATGGCCACCCAGCCCGTCATGGAATCATAGGGTCCTACAGCTGGAGGGGACCCCTAGGGGCCATCCAATCCAGCCCCCTTTGGCCAGGAAGCACATCACCAAAGCCCTCCCAACAGATGGCCATCCAGCCTGTCACAGAATAATATTGAAATGGGTGCCTAAAGGCCATCCAGTCTAACCTCCATCTGCCAGGAAAGACACCACCAAAGCCCACCTGACAGATGGCTATCCAGCCTGCCATAGAATGATAGGGTCCTAGCAATCCAAACAGATGGCCATCCAGCTCTCAGAGTAATATTGGAAGGGACCCCTAAAGGCCATCCTGCCCAACCCCTTCTACCAGGAAGGACACCACCAAAGCAATCCAAACAGATGGCCTTCCGACTCACATAATAGTAATGGAAGGGGCCCCTAAAGGCCCCCCAGTTCACCCTCCTTGATGGGGAAACCCGCCAGAAGGCCAAGCCCAGGCTCAGTCCTGGGCGAAGGGAAAGGGAGCCAACCCCAGCGGCCTTGCAAGGGACTGACACCGGAGCCGGAGCCGAAGCCAACCTGAGTCAGAGGGATGGAAAAACACACACTTGTCTCATTCTGCCTTCGTCAGGTTGGGCTCGGAGGCGTTGTTTTTTCCTCTCCACATTGTTTATAGACGATTTGGAAACACAAAACAGCTGGCAAGAAGTCAGCCTGATTCCAGAGTTGATTCCCTGGATGGTGTCCACCAGCCCCGAGGCAGGAGAGGCTGCCAAGGAGGAACCAGTGAACTTCTCTCCTCTGCTCGCTCACTCGCTCGCTCCTTCCTTCCTTCCTTCGCTCCCTTCCCCATCTTTCCCTGGGAAGAGCCGCCTGCCTGCAAAGGGCACGCCGACCCTGCCAGGTGGGACAAGGGGTGCCTGTATCCTCCGCATCCAGCCCCACTCCAGGCCATGGGTCCCCAAAGGGGGGGGGGGGCGTCAAGAAGGGTCTCCAGCCAAGACGAGGCCAGCAGGAGGAAGGTGGCCCCAAAATAACCCTTTAAGGAGCCCCATTCATCCAGGGAAGGATGGAGGGAAGGAAGGAGAGAAGGAATGGGAAGGGAGGGAGGGAGAAAGGGAAGGAAAGGAAGGAAACAAGCAAGGAAAGGAAGGAAGGGAAAAGAAGGAAAGGAAGGGAGGGAAGGAAGGAGGAAAAGGAAAGAAAGAAGCAAAGCAAGGAAGGAAGGAGAGGGAGGAAGGGAAGGAAGGGAGGGAGGGAGGAAAAGGAAGGAGAAGAAGAGAAGGAAGGAAGGAGGGAAAGAAGAAAAGGAAGGAGGGAGAGGAAGGGATGGAAAAGAAAAGGATGAAAGAAGGGAAAGGAATGAAGGAAGGAGGAGAGAGAGAATGGGAAGAAGGGAGGAGGGAGGAGGAGGAAAAGGAAGGAAAAAGAAGAAAGAAAGGAAGAAAGGGAAAGAAGGAAAAGGGAGGAAGGGAAAAGGAAAGAAAGAAGGAAGGTAGAGAAAAGCAAGAAGGAAGGAGGGAGGAATAGAAGGAAGGAAGGAGAAAGGAAAAGGAAGGAAAGAAGAAAGAAAGGAAGGGGAAAGGAGGGAGAGGGGAGGGATGGAAAGAAAAGGATGAAAGAAGGGAAATGAATGAAGGAAGAAAGGAAGGAAGGAAGAAGGAAGGAGAGAAAGAAGGGAAAGAAGGGGAGGGAGGAAGGGAAGGAGAAAAGGAAAGGAAAAAGAAGAAAGGAAGGAAGGAAGGGAAAGGAGGAAAGGGAGGAAGGAAAAGGAAAAAAGAAAAGGAGCAAGAAAGGAAGGAAGGGATGAAGGAGGAGAAGGAGAAACAGGAAGGAAAGGAAAGAAAGAAGGGAAGGAAGGAAGGAAGGAAAAAAAAAGAAGGAAGGAAGGAAGGAAGGAAGGAAGGAAGGAAGGAAGGAAGGAAGGAAGGAGGGAGGGAGGGAGGGAGGGAGGGAGGGAGGGAGGAAGGAAGGAAGGAAGGAAGGAAGGAAGGAAGGAAGGAAGGAAGGAAGGAAGGAAGGAAGGGAAGGAGAAGGAAGGGAAGGAGGGGAAGGAAGGAAGGAAGGAAGGAAGGAAGGAAGGAAGGAAGAGGAGGACTGGGAATCAAGGGAAAGGATGGATGGAGGGAGGGAGGAAGCAATGGAAGGAAGGAAGGAAATGTGGCAGCACCTTTCAGCCTAAGCAGTTCTTATTTTGGTGGACATAAACAGGAGTGAGTATGTGAGTTGCTCTGCAAGAGGACTGAAGGAAACAGAATGGACTCCCCAAGTGGCCAATCCCCCCCCAGCGGTTGCAGAACAGCCCCCCCTCCAGCACTTGAGCCCAGAAATCCCACCACTGCACAATGGGAGCGTGTTCCCAAACTCAAACGCATGGGCAGAGGCACGGCCAAGGACGAGGCCGCCATTGCTCTGTGTGCTTGACCAGGGCTGAAGGGCGGCTTGGGCCCCAAGAAAATGACCCAATGGCCCACAAAGGAAGGCCTGAAGGGCCGCCATCTCCTTGCACAGCCCTTTGGAAAAGTAGGGCAGGGCCCACGGGACACATCCCTCTGGCGCCCATGGCACCCACGGCGCATGCCCTCCGAGGTGCTTTTATGGAATGCATGTAAAGTGTGCTGTGCCCAGCCTCGGGCCAAAAAGAGGGTAAGGAATGACAACAATAACAATAATGAAAATAGTGAAAATAATAATAACAATGCATGTCATTAGGGACCTTGAGAGAAAAAGAGAGGTGGGTAATGAATAATAATAATAATAATAGTATTAATAATGCATGTTGTGCCCTGCCTCGAGCCAAAAGGAGTTGTGGGAAATACATAAATAATGAATGAATGAATAAATAAATGTATAAATAATAAACCCTCAATACCATATTTACTGGAATCTTCTGCCATGGCACAGGATGAATCATATGAATGAATAACAAATATAATAGTAATAATAATAAAAACAATGGCGACTAAGGAAGGAGCTTCCACCATTATTATTATTATTATTATTATTATTATTATTAATATTACTGTAATACTGTACTTGTTATAGATTAATGTGCTCCGTTCTATGGCAGATCCCCCTTCAGAACATCATCATCATGTATTTCATATAGCTAATTGTTTATTATATATTAATATAATTCATAGAATCTTAGAATGCTAGAGTTGGAAGAGACCTGGTGGGCCATCATCCAGTCCAACCCCAATCTGCCAAGAAGCAGGAATGTTGCATTGAAAGCATCCCTGACAGATGGCCATCCAGCCACTGTTTCAAAACCTCCATAGAAGGAGCCTCCACCATGCTCAGGAGCAGAGAGTTCCACTGCTGAACAGCTCTCTTTCACAGTCAGGAAGTTCTTCCTCATGTTCAGGTGGAATCTCCTCTCTTGTAGTTTATATAAGCAAAGTAAATAAAAGTAAATAATAAATTGTAGTTTGAAGCCATGGCTCCATTGCGTCCTAGTCTCCAGGTAAACAGAAAACAAGCTTGTTCCCTCCTCCTCCTCCCTGTGGCTTCCTCTCACATATTTATACATGGCTATCATATCTCCCCTCAGCCGTCTCTTCTTCAGGCCAAACATGCCCAGCTCCTTAAGCCACTCCTCATAGGGCTTGTTCTCCAGACCCTTGACCATTTTAGTCGCCCTCTTCCTCTGGACACATTCCAGCTTAGAGTCAATCTCTCTCTTGAATTGTGGTGCCCGGAATTGGACACAATGTGATTCCAGGTAAAGTGGTCTAACCAAGGCAGAACAGAGCATGGGGAGCAGGACTTCCCAGTCATCCTCTGCCAAAAGCTGTACAGAAACCTGATATGGAGCGGGACAATAGCCATAAGAGGAAGCAAGAGCGGTCAAGGAGGAGATTGCAATGAGGCCCTTTCTCCTAATAAAGCCACAGAGACGCATGTGCCATCTAGTCCAACCCCATAGAAACCTAGAATCCAAGAGTTGGAAGAGACCTCCTGGGCCATCCTCCAGTCCAACCCCATTCTGCCAAGAAGCAGGAATATTGCATTGAAAGCACCCCTGACAGATGGCCATCCAGCCTCTGTTTAAAAGCTTCCAAAGAAGGAGCCTCCACCACACTCTGGGGCAGAGAGTTCCACTGCTGAACAGCTCTCACCGGAAGTTCTTCCTCATGTTCAGGTGTAATCTCCTTTCCTGAAGCCATGGCTCCATTGCGTCCTCGTCTTTCTCCAAGGAAAGGAAGCAGAAAGGAAGCTCCCTCCCTCCTCCTCCTCCTCCTCCTCCTCCCTAGGATGTATTCCCCTCACATAGTTATACCTGGCCGTGATATCTCATGGCAGCTCCCCGCTGCACTATTATTATTGTATATTAATATGATTAATTGTATGTCATGGCAGCTCCCCCCTCCCATTATTATGATATGCTAATACTATTCATGATATGCCTTGGCAGCTCCCCCTTCTTCTTCTTCTTCTTCTTCTTCTATGTTAACCTAGATAGGATGCCCCCCAGGAGCAGGTGCAAGCCCAGATGGGGGGGGGTCACGTGCCCCCCCGCCCCCCCTCTTACCTGCTGCTGCTGCTGGTGGTGGTGGGCGGGGGGCGTGCCTCGCGGGGGGCGTGGCGGCCCTGCCTGGGCCCCGCCCCTGGCCCCTCCTGGTGTGGGGAGCTGGGCGTGGTGCTGGTGGTGCTGGTGCTGCGTGTGTGCGCCCCCTGTGGGCGTGTCCCGGCGGCGCAGGAGCTCTGAGCGGAGTTCGAGGTAGCAGCCGAGGGTGAGGAGGTGCAGCGAGAGCGAGAGCGCCAGGAACGCCCCCAGCGCCCGCCACAGCCACGCCCCCCCCGCAGGCGCCCAGGACGAGCACGCGAGAGCCGGAGCGGGGGAGAGAGGCGGCTCCGAGCCCATGGCGGCGCTACGACGCCCGCATCCTCCTGCCTGCCTTCCTTCCTGCACGCCCGCTCGCCTGCCTTCTGGCCTGGAAGCCGCCCGCGCCAGGAGGAAGCCCCAGGGGGCGGAGCCCGGGGAGGGGGCGGGGCCAAGCGGAGAGGAGGAGGGAGGGAGGGAGGGAGGGAGGCCGCTGACTCGCGCTCTACCCGCTCCAGGCCACGCCCCCCTCGCAGGCAGGCAGGCAGGCTCCGGAAACAGGGAGACCCTCCGGGGGCGGGGCCAAGGGAGGCAGGGAGGGAGGGAGGGAGGGAGGGCCGCCCCCTCGCAGCACGGAGAGAGCCCCTTAGGGGGCGGCGCCAAGCCAGGAGCGGAGGGCGGGGCTTCAGCAGGGAGACCCCTCAGGGGGCGGGGCCAAGGGAGGGCCGCCTGGCGCGCTCCCCGCCCCCTAGGCAGGCCCCGCCCCCTCGCAGCACGGAGAGCTCCCCTTAGGGGGCGGGGCCAAGACAAGAAGGCGTGGCTTCAGGAAGGAGCCAGGAGAGCCCTTTAGGGGGCGGGGCCAAGGGAAGACCCGCCCCCTCGCTGGCTCCGCCTCCTCTCAAGGCCCCCCAGGGGGAGGCGGGGCTTCTGGAGGGGGGAAGGCCGCCTTTCCCTGCTCTCCTCGCTCGCCCCGCCCCCTTCGCAGCCCAAGAGGGCTGGCTGCCCGGAAGTCCCGCCTTCCCGCCCGGGAGATGTGCGGAAGGCAGGCTCAGGAAGGAGCTGCCCGAGGTGCTGACGGGGGGGGAGAGGGAGGGCGACCCCGTGGGTGAGCCAGGAAGGCAGGGAAGGCATGCCATGCAGGGGAGACAGCTCGGAGCCCCCCAGGACGGAGAGAGAACAGCCATAGAGACCCACACTGGGAATAAATGAGGAGTATGACAAGGACTATTAATTATTCATCTAATAATAATAATGGGATAGATGATATCTCCGATCCGATGGTCTGTTTTCCGAGCTGGGCGGCCTTTGGGGGGGGGGGGGCTCCGGCTGATTCCCGAATCTCCTGCCCCGCCCCCCCTTCCCGCCTGGAAGCCCTTTCGGCGAGGTCACGAGGCCTGGCCCCGCCCTCCCGGGACAGAAGGGGGCGGAGCTGCTCCTCTAGGGGAAGCGAGGCGAGGCGAGGGCGCCACCTGGCGGGCGCCGAGGGGAAGGGCAGGCAGGGAGGGAGGGGGCCTGCTGTGGGAGAGGCAGCAACAACATCTCAACAGGGGAACTTGTGGGTTGTGGTAGGTTTTTCCGGGCTAGATGGCCATGTTCTGGAGGCAGTTTTTCTCCTGACGTTTCGCCTGCATCCTCAGCGGTAGTGAGGTCTGAGGATGCTTGCCATAGATGCAGGCGAAACGTCAGGAGAAAAGTTGCCTCCAGAACATGGCCATATAGCCCGGAAAAACCTACCACAACCCCTCAGTGATCCCGGCCATGAAAGCCTTCGACAATACATTGGAACTGGTGCCACAAAGATCCGGGTGGGATCGCCAGCCTGCCTAGAGTCACAGGAAACGAACACGTCAGACCACTCTGGGACTTCCGGATTCAGGCTGAGCACACGACTCCTGACCTCACAACCGTGGGGAAAAACCAAGTGCGCCTGGGTCATGGATTTGCCAATCCCAGGCGATCAACGAGAAGCAACTGGAAAAGCTGACATGATGCGAGGATTTAAAGATCGAGCTGCAAAGCCAATCGTGGGGGTGTCGTCGAGGGCATCCCTGACCCCTGCCTTCAAGCTGATCTGACCAGCCGCAGGGAGTTCCACAGTTCCTGGATGCCCAGTTGGGCTGAAACTGATGAAACTGGTGCCCCCGCAAGAGCAGCCTCAACCGGGGACTCTTTGCCGCCCTGTGCTCTTTCCTCTCACTCCTTTTCCCAGCCCAAACTAGGTCACAAATCCCTCAATAAAGATTAAATGAATTGTAACCCTAACCTCTCCAGGATGATACTTTGTGTCCCTTTCCTGGTTCAAACTGTCTCAATGCATGAAACAACCTTTTCTGGGCTGCGGGAGACTGCAGGCCTGCTGGGATGCCTTCCTGGTGTCCCAGGGAGGCTGAATCTGCTTTCCTTCAAACCGCGGATACGGAAACCCTTCGGGGCCCCATATCCGCAAGTTGACGGATCAACTCCATTTTGATGCCATATCTTTCCTAGCTAAATTCTAACCCTATCTGCCATCTCGCTTTTTGCATTTCAGGCCCCTACGCTCAGGGAATAACCTTTGGTTTATTAAGAATATTCTTTAAAAGGAGAACAGTCAAAATCCAAGCCTCATCATCAGGCTTCAGCCCTTGGAAGGAGCTATAGTTTTCCAAGGACCAAGGCCCAGCTTCGACCTCAGCACTGCAGGACTCCATCTTTTGGCTCAGTGGAAGTCACCAGACTCCTTTTTGTGACTTGGACTTTCTGTCATATACTTTTGGACTTCATTTTTTTTAAAAAAACAAACTTGTTTTCACCCATGAATTTCCCCAAAATGAACTATGAACTCATATTGTGCTGTGATTAAAACTTTCATCAATTGCTCTGTTGGGGGGGCGGGGGGGCGGGAGGGATGCCTGGATATGATTTTTCATCGAGATTCCTATATTTCTATATTTCCCTTCATGTATCTGACCTTGCCCTGACCCTTTTACCCCGTTTCCCCTTTCCTTGAGGGAAGTTGCCCTGTCTCTGAAAAGCAATTAGCGATCATGAAAGTACCCTTATCTTAGGACATTTCTTGCATGGACAATAACAAAGGAATATCTTTCTTGACTTCGGAGTAGGGCCATCAAGAGGATCTCTGCTTGGCAGACTTTTTAATCACATAACAATGGGGGAAAGATGACCTTTGGAAAGCCCTTTCCCCCCCAACCCGTTTTTCTTTCAAATCTCTCCACTAAAGACATTCACCAAAGTCTTCCCCTTTGTGCTCTATCTGATCGCAAGCGGAAAACCCGGATTAAGTGATCAATGCTTATCGCAGACCCATCTCAAGACAATAAAGTTGGTTTTTCTGGCAGGCCGGTTCCGGACTCGTTAAGCCTCCAGGTTATTAAACTCCATAATCCACTCAAGAATGCATTGTATCTCTTTGTCCTGCCTCCCTCCCTTCTGATTCACTGGAGTGTCGAGGTGGGGGAGCCTCCTGATTATGTTTATTTATTTACTTATGCCCTATGATTGGCCCAGGCGCACAGAGAACGGCCAAGCTGTTAGCGCGCCAGCCAATCACCATCGGGAATTTTGAAACTCACAACTCTGTATTTTCTATAAAAATGGCATTTATTTCTGTAACCACATGCTCTGCTTGACGAATGATCGCGGCTTTGCATCCTTTTCAGCTGAATCACTAATAAACATCTCGGTGGTGCTTCTTCAAGCTTGGTGAGATTCTGTTTGGGAACCTAGGGGAAAAAATTGCTTAAAATCAGGCTTCTCTTTGCTCACCAACGTAGTGATCCCTCTTTGGTGGGGCCACAGGGTCTCTCCTCCTGGGGCAGATCCTCCTAAAGTTCCTATCGACTTCAGGGGTCCCAGAGGTGATGGGCACACTGGGCGCAGTGCCTCAAGACCTTGGCCTGCACTTAAATGTAAGTACGATTACATTTAAGATAATGTAAGATTCTCCCTGACCACATTTTGCACAAAATGTCCTTAGAAGCACTTTATTTTTGGTTTGTGCAATGAAATCCTTCCTCATTCCCGGAGCCTCCTCCATATAATTTACAATGTCCTACCTCCCAATGTTTTTTTAAAAAAATTAAAAATTTTATCCGTGAATCTGTCCCTGCCTTGTGAAATTTTCCTTAATTTTTGATTTTATATTGTTTGCGTCGTATATTATTTTGATTTTGCATTTTATGTATTTTGCTTGGTTCTATGTTTTTGTGTTATTTTGGCCTCATGTAAGCCGCACTGAGTCCCCTTGAGGGAGATGGAGCGGGGTATAAATAAAGTTTTATTATTATTATTATTATTATTATTAAAAACAATTGGCGCTGACCAAATCCCCACCTGTCAGCTGCAAAAGGCCTCTCTACTGGAATCTGTGCGCATTACACGCCAATACATCACACAGTCCTAGACACTTGGGAAGGACATGTGATCCAATACAACAGCCAGCAGAGCGATCTTATTATAATTATTATTATTGGATGCACAACAAGGTTAGTAACAGCAATCATATGGGATACAGGAGCCACTTTGAGTCTCCTTCTGGAGAGAAGGATAAGTAAATAAATAAACATAATAAACATAATAATGGTAATAATAAACATAAAATAATAAACATAAACTAATAATAATATGGATCGAGAGAAGTCCTATGGCATATAGCCACTTTGAGTCACCGTGTTGAAGGAAAAAGCAGGGTATAAACCCAATAATAATAATAATAATAATAATGTATAGAAAGAAGTCATATGGGAAATAGCAACCGCTGTGAGTCTCCTTGTGGGGAGAAAAGTGATGTATAAACATAAGACATCATATCGGATGAGGGACCCCAGTCCCTTGGAAACAGCCCCTGTGAGACACAAACTGAACGCGAGGCACAATTGTGACGCAACAGCGCAAAAGGCCAATGCGGTTCTGGGCTGCGTTCACAGGGGTGTCAGTGCCTGGATGGGGGGAAGTCCTTCTCGGAGGAGAAATAACCGACCGCGCGGGGGCTTCTCACCGTCAATTCTCAACACTTGGTTTTATTTCTTTACTGGGTTAAACAAGGAGCAGAGGGAAAACCCTGGTCCGAAATACAACAGAAACCGAAAAAGCATTACAGGTACAGAGACTATTGAAACACAGAAGAGTAGTAGGATAATAAGTTTTAATACAACTGAATTATAGCATGGGTTTGCTGTCGTTGTTGTCCTCATTGTTGAGTGTGTTGTCAAACCATCTTAGGGAGGGGGAGGGGAGGGGGAATCCAATGTCGTCGGTAGGGACTACTAGTGCAAAAAAGTCCTAAACATGAAGCACAGTGTATAAAATGGCATTAAGAAAAAGGCCTCTCCCTTCCCTTCGAAAGGACACAGAGTGGAAGGGAGGGGGAGAGGAAAGGGGGAAGAGGAAGGAAGGAAGGAAGGAAGGAAGGAAGGAAGGAAGGAAGGAAGGAAAGAGGAGGAGGAGTGAAACTGGGGTGAGGGGGGAAGAGGACTTGAAAGCGCAACCCGGCCCCAAAGAGCCTTCTGCATTGGCCTGTTTCGCACCTCTGTCTCCCTCAGTTTGACCTCCGAGTCGCTTTAGAGAATCCCGGAGAGACTTCCTAGGATGAGAGTCACCAAAACCCTGCAAGACTACTCCATCCGCAGTGAGATGGGCCTTCCCCTGACACTGAATGGGCACTTAGAAATGCAAATAGCAGCGAGGAGGGACTGGGAAGAGGCCAGGGGGAGAGTCTCGAAGGACTCTTCGGGGCGAAGAAAAGGGACTGGGAAGTGGCCAGAGGGATCTTCCCCACTCTTTGGGGCTCCTGACGAAACTCTGCTAGGAAATCCCAAATAAATCGGCAAAGGCTGAACCCAGGGCTGATTTTTTGCAGAACTGTCTCTGAAGATAACCATTCACATTCCTCCCCTCTTCTCCCGGAGAACGCAGCCCTTGGCCCAGAGATGGGGGGGGGGGGGCATCAGTTGAATGGCCAAAGTGGGCAGAGATGGTGGTCAGTTCCCTGTAGAGTCACACATGATAATAATCATAAAAGCAGCCCAATAAAAGGAAGGAAGGAAGGAAGGAAGGAAGGAAGCCTGGCCGCCCCCCCCCCATGCCTGGTGCACTTCCTTGCCCTGCCCCTTGCCTTGGCCCCGCCCACTTGTAGTCACAGGTGACAAAAGCAGCTTGATAAAAAGAAGGCCACGCCCCCTGTCGTGACTCCTCCCACCTGTCTTGGCCCCTCCCCTTCACAAAGTTGCATGTGACAATCCAAGCCGACCAATAAAAGGAAGGAAGGAAGCCCTTGCCTTGGCCCCGCCCCCTTTGTGGTTGCCCCACCTCTCTTGCCTTGGCCCCTCCCACTTGTAGTCACAGGTGACAAAAGCCGCAAGAAGGCCACGCCCCCTGTTGTGACTCCTCCCACCTGTCTTGGCCCCTCCCCTTCACAAAGTTGCATGTGACAATCCAAGCCGACCAATAAAAGGAAGGAAGGAAGCCCTTGCCTTGGCCCCGCCCCTTGCCTTGGCCCCTCCCACTCGCAGAGTCGCAAAGAGCAATAAAAGCAGGTCAATAAAAAGGCAGAAGGAAGCCCTTCCTTGGCCCCGCCCCCTTTACTGTTCCCCGCCCATCTTCCCCTGGCCCCTCCCACTCAGAGTCGCATGTGACAATCAAAGCGTGCCAATAAAAGGAAGGAAGGAAGACAGCCCCACCTTGGCCCCACCCCATGCCTTGGCTCCTCCCACTTGCCTTGGCCACGCCCATTCGCAGAGTCGCACAACGATAATAGAAGCAGAAGGAAGGCAGCCCTCCTCCAATGCCTGCTGCGCTTCGCTGGCCCCGCCCTTTGCCTTGGCTCCTCCCCTTTCTGTAGCTCCTCCTTGCCTTGGCCCCGCCCCCGCCCCCTTGCAGAGTAAGTGGCCCCCTGGGACCTCGGAGGGCGGACCCCCGTCTTCTGCCCGCAGGCGCTGCTTGGGCCCGGTGTACCGACCGTCCGGCCGCCCGGCTGACCGACTCCCGTCTTGTGGCCACTGTTGCCGGCGCCGCTGCGGTGGCCCTTTGGCGGGAGGAGAGCCGTCACCTCCCGCGGAGCTTTGCACCGCTGCTGCTGCTGCTGCTGCTGCTGCCGCCCCTCACAGGGGGCTGTCCGCACGGTCACTCCTCCTGCCCTCCTCCTCCTCCTCCTCCGCCCTCCTCCCTGTCGCCGCCGTTGCCTCCGTCCCCGTGGCCGCCTGAGAAGGACGCCATGGTGTGCAAGAGGAGCAGGAGCAGGAGGCCGAACCGGATCCTGCTGGGGGGGGCCAGGCGGGACCCCGCAGAGACCGGCAGCAGAGGGACAGGCTGCGACGGAGGGGGCGGAGGGGCAGGGTGCTGGGGGTGGTGGTAGTACAGGTGGTAGTGCTGCTGCTGCTGCTGCTGGTGGTGGGAGTGTGGAGGGTGTCCGTCAAAGGGCTCCAAGGCGTCCATGGAGGAGGAGGAGGAGGAGGAGGAGGCATTGAGGCCGTGCTCCGGCCGCCGGCCACAGGAGTCCCACTGGAGGGCACAGCACTTGGCCTCCTGCTCCAGCAGCGGCGGCTCCATCAGCCCTGCAAAACACGAGGGGTGGGGGGCAATCAATGAGTATATATGTGAGAGGGAGTGTTGGAACTGGAAAAATAACATTTTCAACATTTACACAAATGATCAGTCACTGGCAGAAGGGACAGAGTTCCATCTATGCCGACAATCGTGCCATCACCGCTCAAGCAGGGAGCTTTGAAATGGGTGAACAGAAGCTCTCCGAAGCTCTAGGTGCTCTAACTGCCTATTACAGGGAAAATGAGCTGATCCCTAATCCATCTAAAACACAGACATGCGCCTTTCACCTTAAGAACAGACAAGCATCCCGAGCTCTGAGGATGATTACCTGGGAAGGAAGGAATCCCACGGGAGCATTGCAGCACACCCAAATACCTGGGAGGAGTCACTCTGGACTGTGCTCTGACTTAGAAGAAGCACTGCTTGACTATCAAGCAAAAGGTGGGTGCCAGAAATAATATCATACGAAAGCTGACTGGCACAACCTGGGGATCACAACCAGACACATTAAAGACATCTGCCCTTGTGCTTTACTACTTTGCTGCTGAGTACGCATGCCCAGTGTGAACACATATCACCATGTTAAAACAGTGGATGTGGCTCTTATTTATTTATTTATTTATTTATTTACCTTACTTATATACCGCTGTTCTCAGCCCGAAGGCGACTCACAGCGGTTCACAACAAACAACAACAGCAAGAATTCAGTGCTAAGTATAAAAACAATTAACAGCCTACACATTACACAGTTAATAAACAATTACTACAGAAGCCATTCACTATCGTCTCATCATCAGAAACATGATCCAAATTCGTCATCCATTGTTCCATTCCATTGTTCATTGCACTAAATTATTCGAACGCCTGCTCAAACAGCCAGGTCTTTAGTTTTCTACGGAATACCATTAGGGATGATGCTAATCTAATGTCCGCAGGACGTTCCACAGCCGAGGGGCCACCACCGAGAAGGCCCTATCTCTCGTCCCCGCCAGCCGAGCTTGAGAAGCAGTCGGGATCGAGAGCAGGGCCTCCCCGGAAGATCTCAAAGTCCTGGTGGGTTCATAGGCAGAGATGCGGTCGGATAGGTAGCTTGGGCCGGAACCGTTTAGGGCTTTAAAGGTCAATGCCAGCACTTTGAATTGAGCCCGGTAGCAAATCGGTAGCCAGTGGAGTTGGCGCAACAGGGGGGTTGTATGCTCCCTGCGTTCCGCTCCTGTTAGAATCATGGCTGCCGAGCGTTGGACTAGTTGAAGCTTCCGAGCTGTCTTCAAAGGCAACCCCACGTAGAGAGCGTTGCAGTAATCTAGACGGGATGTAACCAGAGCGTGGACTACCGTGGCCAAGTCAGACTTCCCAAGGTACGGGCACAGCTGGCGCACAAGTTTTAACTGTGCAAATGCTCCCCTGGTCACCGCCGAAACCTGGGGTTCCAGGCTCAGCGATGAGTCCAGGGTCACACCCAAGCTGCGAACCTGCGTCTTCAGGGGGAGTGCGACCCCATCCAACACAGGCTGTAACCCTATGCCCTGTTCGGCCTTGCGACTGACCAGGAGTACCTCTGTCTTGTCTGGATTCAGTTTCAATTTGTTCACCCTCATCCAGACCGTCACAGCGGCCAAGCTGTGGCAGAGATGTTCAGGACCTGGACAGCCTCGTTAGTAGCAGGTGGAAAGGAGTGACAGAGTTGGACATCATCCACGTACAGATGACACCGTACCCCGAAACTCCGGATGATCTCTTAATGAGACATGCCGCATTATCAGAGAGCGTGTGGCGTTCGGATCCGAGCGAGCCAAATCGAACACGGTTTGTGTCCTTTTTAAGGGCATATGCCGCGGCAATAAAAGCCGCAAAGAAAACTTTCTTTGCGGCCACTATTGCGTCTGCAAAGAACCGTCCGGCTGAACTGTTCCGAGTTGTCAGAGGCCTATTAAAACCCGCCACTCAGGATGGGTGCCCTGATGACTCGGCAGCTCGCTGCGAAGCTTTTGCTCGGTTCTTCGCAGACAAAGTCGCTTTGATCCGCTCTGGACTGGATACCATATTAACGGCAGTCTCTGAGGATATAACACGAGCATCTGCCTGTCCGGTTTTGATGGATTCATTTCAATTGGTTCAATCCGAGGATGTGGACAAGGTGCTTGGAGGAATGAGAGCTACCACATGCATCCTAGACCCCTGCCCATCCTGGCTTCTAAAGGAGGCCAGAGGGGGATTGGCCGAGTGGGTGAAGGTGGTGGTTAATGCCTCCCTTCGGGAGGGCAAAATTCCAGCCAGCTTAAAGCAAGCTGTGATAAAACCGCTGTTGAAGAAACCATCACTGGACCCCACTCAATTCGTCAACTATCGGCCTGTTTCCAATCTCCCCTTTTTGGGCAAAGTCATGGAACGTGTGGTGGCCTCACAACTCCAGGAATTCTTGGTAGACACGGATTATCTGGATCCGGCACAGTCTGGCTTTAGGCCGGGGCATGGTACCGAGACAGCCTTGGTCGCCTTAGTGGATGATCTGCGTCGGGAGCTCGACAGGGGAGTGTGTCCCTGTTGGTGCTGCTCGACCTCTCAGCGGCCTTCGATACCGTCGACCACGGTATCCTTCTGGGACGCCTCGCGGGGATGGGTCTTGGAGGTACTGTTCTGCAGTGGCTCCGCTCATTCCTCGAGGGTCGGTCTCAGAAGGTGTTACTGGGAGACTCCTGTTCTACTCCACAGCCTTTGTCCTGTGGAGTTCCTCAGGGTTCAATACTGTCTCCCATGTTGTTTAACATCTACATGAAGCCGCTGGGCGAGATCATCCGGAGTTTCGGAGTGCAATGTCATCTGTACGCAGATGATGTCCAACTCTGTCACTCCTTTCCACCTGCTACTAAGGAGGCTGTCGAGGTCCTGAACCGGTGCTTGGCCGCTGTGACGGTCTGGATGGGGGCGAACAAATTGAAATTGAATCCAGACAAGACAGAGGTACTCCTGGTTAGTCGCAAGGCCGAACAGGGTATAGGGTTACAGCCTGTGTTAGACGGGGTCGCACTCCCCCTGAAGACGCAGGTTCGCAGCTTGGGTGTGATCCTGGACTCATCGCTGAGCCTGGAACCCCAGGTTTCGGCGGTGACCAGGGGAGCATTCGCACAGTTAAAACTTGTGCGCCAACTGCGACCGTACCTTGGGAAGTCTGACTTGGCCACGGTAGTCCACGCTCTGGTTACATCCCGTCTTGACTACTGCAACGCTCTCTACGTGGGGTTGCCTTTGAAGACATCCCGGAAGCTCCAATTAGTCCAACGGGCGGCAGCCATGATACTAACAGGAGCGGGGCGCAGGGAGCACACAACTCCTCTGCTGCACCAGCTCCACTGGCTGCCGATATGCTACCGGGCTCAATTCAAAGTGCTGGCATTGGCCTTTAAAGCCCTAAACGGTTCTGGCCCAACTTATCTATCCGAACGTATCTCAGCCTATCAGCCCATCAGGACCCTAAGATCTTCTGGAGAGTCCCTGCTCTCTATCCCGCCGGCTTCCCAAGTGCGGCTGGCGGGAACGAGAGACAGGGCCTTTTCTGTGGTGGCCCCTCGGCTTTGGAACACCCTCCCTATAGAGGTACGATCAGCCTCCTCGCTGATGGTGTTTCGGAAGAGATTGAAAACATGGTTGTTTAAACAAGCATTCGGTTAATCCGTTGCAATCGAATTTTGATGACTAAAGGACTGGTAATCATGGACGACGAATTTTGGATTGTGATTTTAGTTACGAGATGCATGGGATTATTATTGGTGGCCCAATAATTTGTATTGTATATGGGTTTTATGTTTTAAATTGAATACTGTTTTTTAATTGTTGTAAACTGCAATGAGTCGCCGACTTAGGCTGAGATATTAGCGGTATACAAGCGTATAAATAAATAAATATCACGAGGTGTCTGCGCCCCACACCGCTGAAGAAATCACACTGCTTAGCCAGTATTGCACCACCTGACATCCACTGGAAAGTAGCAGCCAGAAATGAATGGACCAAGGCAGAGACATCTCCAGCTCATCCCCTGTTTGGTTATCAGTCAGCACGCCAATGACTTAAATCAAGAAATACCTTTCTAAGATCTACAGAGATACTCGCAGGAACACCTCAGCAAGCGAGAGTCCAAAAGTGGCAGGCTAAAACCCAGAACCTCAATCAGTGGCTGAGACTGGATGAGGGACTCCTTCCTGGGCACAAAGAGGACTGGGTGACTTGGAAGGCGCTGAACAGTCTGTGCTCTGGCGCCACGAGAAAGGATTCCTGAGGCTTCCCTGCCCCTTTCTGGCCTCACCTGTGCAGAGGAATCCTGGGAGCCCGCCGTAGATGAGCTGGTCGTTGTCAGGGAGGACGAAGGGGCACTTGCTCTGCACCGCCCAGCAGTACTGCTGGCACGGGACCCGGTGTGCACACCCCAGCTGCGCCACCTGGAAGTACTCCGAGCACAACCACGCCTTGTAGGCCGCCTGAAGAGGAAGAGGAAGGAAGAGGAGAAATAGTCCACAACACACGCAGCCCAAGAGTGGCTTACACTTCCACAGCATCACGACCCCAAGACAAACACACAGGTGGCAGAGGTGTGCAATTTGCCCCAAAGGCATGCCGTTTCAGGGTCCATTGTTGCCGCACCCCTCATTCTGTTTACAGGGAAGTTACTCGAATCAGGAGGGGTGTTGCCGTTTTCATTTGGCAAAGATTGGGCCCATTGGCTACAATGGGAAAATTTTAAGGCTCCCTCCTCAGCCATTTTAAGGCCTATCTGCATGGAACCGGCCTCAGTTTTAGACCTCATTTACAACTGCAGGCCTGCCAAGTTTCAAAGCAATTCATCAGTCTACCATTTTTAAGAATTATTTTAAGGTTTAACCATAACATTTTTCAAAATAAGACAAACCGCAAGAGATGTTTCTGTGAATTGTAGTCACCAGTTGTGTCCATTCTCAGCCAATCAGAGCATGAACACCACCAGGCTTTTTATTGGCTGAGAAACACACACATAGAGAGAGAAACTTCAACTCCCATCATGCTCTGAGAGGAACTCAGAGACGTTTCAATGCCCACCCCATGCAAGTGCTGCTGGGAAAGCAAGTTTCTCGCAGGGCCCTCTCTGGAGGAGGAGCCGAGGAAACTTTCCAAAACGAAATGGACGTATGGGAGAAAAAGACGCTGGAATAATCCCATCTTCTCCAGAAACCCCACGGCAGACCCCTCCCTCAGGTATATTGCAGACTTAACTCCTTCCTCTCCAGTAGCCAATAAGATCTGGCTCTCTTAATCTGTTTTGTTCAGCTTTTTGGTTCCCTCCTCCTCGTTCTGTTTTCGGAGATTGTATGAAACGAACCACTGAATATTACAAATCATTTTTGTTCAAACTGATTCAGGCCCAAGCCTAACGGGTGGCTTGCTTCTTTGCTAGGAAATAAGCAGCACCCTCTTGTAAGGACAGAGGACACTCTTATGTAGGGCTACGCAGGGCAGAGAAAAAGACGGTGGTGATGATGGGGATTGTTGTTGTTAAGATGGCGGACTTTGTATTGCTCAGCATAGAAAAAGATGATGGTGGTGGTGGTGGTGTAATAATATAATATATATTTGCTGGTAACACTATGTAACATGATTTTGTAACGTGTTACATGTTTCTGGATTATCAAAATAAATATTTCCTATTAGGACACGGAGCAATGGCTTCAAACTACAGGAAAGGAGATTCCACCTGAACATTAGGAAGAACATTCTGACTGTGAGAGCTGTTCAACAGTGGAACTCTCTGCCCCAGAGTGTGGTGGAGGCTCCTTCTTTGGAGACTTTTAAGCAGAGGCTGGATGTCCATCTGTTGGGGGTGCTTTGAATGTGATTTTCCTGCTTCTTGGCAGAATGGGGGTTGGACTGGATGGCCCACCAGGTCTCTTCCAACTCTAGGATTCTAGGATTCTATGGTTTCATCTTTTCCCATCATAACCACATGGGAAAAGATGATTAAGCTGCCAACGTTTTGTCTTTGCAGGAGAGACATCCTGCGATAGCACATGTTGCAATAGTTTTCCAATGAGTATCTCATCATCAAGTCTCAACCAATGCAACCTAGTTTGTGGCATCCACAGAAGCAAAGTTTCTGGAGTAGAACAACTACTTTCCGAAACGGTGCACCGGCAGCAAGAACGGAAATGTGGTAAGACCTGCCAATGAGAGCACGTCTTGCATGGGCGGCTTGTTAGAGAAGGGAGAGGGAGGACTTCTATGAAGACTATGCCCCCCCCCCCCCGGTCCCCACTCCTTTGTCCATTGCCCAGCAAAGGGACAAAGGACTGGGCTCTTGAACTCCTTCTGTTTATTGCTGTTGTTGTTGTTGTGTGCCTCCAGGCCCCGAGGAAGGGCCCCCACCCGCGAGAAGCAGCCTGGGCTTCCCTCTTAGCTCCCAAGGCAGGCAAGGAGGGATCTCCCCAATGCCTGGGATAATGGTGCTGCACCGGAAGGAGAAAAGGGGAGGGGGAGCCCAACATCCCAGCCTGTTTCCACGGCAACCAACCCATCAGCAGCAGGAGACACTCAGGCCAAGGCTGCAAACCCTTATGGGGGGGGGGTCCCCTCTTTGGGTTGCTATGTGTTTTCCAGGCTGCATGGACAATGTGTTCCAGCAACATTCTCTCCTGATGTTTCACCTGCATCTGCGGCTGCTTCTGTTGGCAATGAGGCAAGTGGAGTGTAGATATACCTGTGGAACTGTGTCCAAGGTGGGAGAAAGAACACTTCTCTGCTTGAAGCAGGTGTGAATGTTGCAATTAGTGAGCTTGAATAGCATTGAGTAGCCATGAAGCTGCAAAGTCAATCAGTGAAGATATCTGCATAGAGGTAGCTTGGTTGTTGCTGCCTGGAGGCGCCCTCTGTTTGGGAGATGTTAACTGATACTTGATGGTTTGCTGTCTGGAATCCCCCTGTTTTTTTCTTTATTGTCTTGATTCTGGTGTTTTTTAATACTGGAAATCAGATTTTGTTCCTTTATATAACAACAACAACAACAACAACAACAATTATTCCTTTTCATTGTTTTCTCTTTGAAATTGTCTACATGCTTCTTGTGGATTTCAATGTCTTCTCTGTGTAGCCTGACATGATGGGTGGCAGAGCAGTCCAGCATTGCTGTGTTCTCTAATAATAATATTCAGTGTCCAGGTTGGTTCATCAAGTGCTCTGCTATGGCTGACTTCTCTGGTTGAATTAGTCTGTCGTGTCTATATCATGGGGGTGGTGATGGCCAACAGGGAGCTCTAGCGTGGGCTGGTTTATGAGGTGTCAAAGAGTCGGAAACGACTGAACGAATGAACCACAACAACAAGTCTTTCATGTTCTTTAACACCTCCCAAGCAGAGGGTTCCTCCAGGCAACAGAGGCCAGGCCACCACTATGCTGCTACCATCACTGATGGACTTTGCAAACTTCATGGCTTCTTCCTTCTATTCAAGCATGCCAATTGCAATATCCACAATTGGTTCAAAGAGAAAAAGGTTCTTTCTCCCACCCTGGGCATCATTCCACAGAGGATGCCTCCAGGCAACAGGGTCTAGGCCACCTCTAGGCAGATACCCTTGCTGACTGACTTTGCAAACTTCATGGCTACTCCATGCTATTCAAGCTTGCTCATTGCAACACTCACACTTTGTGCTCTTTCTTTCTCTCTTCCCCCTTCCTGCTGCAAACATTTGCCTCTTGAAAAAGCATTTCTCTTTGTAATTAAAGTAGAGAGAGAGAGAGAGAGAAAAAAAGAATCCTAGAGATAGAAGAGGCCCAAAGACCATCCAGTCCAACCCATAAGACATAGATAGATAGATAGATAGATAGATAGATAGATAGATACAGACAGACAGACAGACAGACAGACATAGATTGATAGATAGATAGAATCCTAGAGTTGGAAGACCCCAAAGACCACCCATTCCAACTCATAAGACATAGATAGATAGGTTCCTAGAGTTGGAAGAGGCCCCAAGGACCACCTGGTACAATTGATAGGTACCTAGATGGAATCCTAGAATTGGACGGACCCCAAAGGACCTTCCATTCCAGCCCATAAGACCCAGATAGATAGATGGAATCCTCGAGTTGGAAGAGACCCCAAGGGCCACCCAGTCCAACCCAGACATAGATAGATGACAGATAGAATCCTAGAGCTGGAAGACCCCAAAGGCCACCCATTCAAACCCATAAGAAATAGAGAGATAGATAGATAGATAGAGATTACTAGAGTTGGAAGAGACCACCCAGTCTAAGCCACAAGTCCTAGAAAGATAGATAGCAATAGAATCCTAGAGTTGGAAGAGACCCCAAAGACCACCTAGTCCAACCCATGATATAGATAGAGATTCCAAAAGTTGGAAGAGACCCCAGGGACTTTCCAGTCCAGCCCACAAGATGCAGATAGATAGATGGAACCCTCAAGTTGGAAGAGACCCCAAGGACCACCCAGTCCAACCCATAAGACATAGATAAATAGATAGATAGATAGATGATAGAATCCTAGAGTTGGAAGACCCCAAAGGCCACCCAGTCCAACCCATGATATAGATAGATAGACAGAGATTCCTAGAGTTGGAAGGGACCACAGGGACCAGCCAGTCCAACCCATAAGAACTAGATAGATAGACAGATAGATAGAGGTAGAATCCCAGAGTTGGAAGACCCCAAAGGCCACCCATTCCAACCCATAAGACATAGATAGATAGATGATAGATAGGTTCCTATTGTTGGAAGAGGCCCCAAGGACTGCCCAGTACAATCAATAGGTACCTAGATAGAATCCTGGAATTGGATGGGGACCCAAAGGACCTTCCAGCCCAGCCCATAAGACCTAGATAGAATCCTAGAGTTGGAAGACCCCAAAGACCACCCATTTCAACCTATAAAACATAGATAGATAGATAGATAGATAGATAGATAGATAGATAGATAGATAGATTCCTAGAGTTGGAAGAGACCCCAGGGACCTTCCAGTCCAGCCCACAAGATGCAGATAGTTAGATGGAACCCTCAAGTTGGAAGAGACCCCAAGGACCACCCAGTCCAACCCATAAGACATAGATAGATAGATGATAGATAGATAGAATCCTAGAGTTGGAAGACCCCAAAGGCCACCCAGTCCAACTCATGATAAAAATAGATAGATAGATAGACAGACAGAGATTCCTAGAGTTGGAAGAGACCCCAGGGACCATCCAGTCCAACCCATAAGAACTAGATAGATAGATAGATAGATAGATAGATAGATAGATAGATAGATAAAGGTAGAATCCTAGAGTTGGAAGAGACCCCAAAGGACCTTCCAGTCCAACCCATGATATAGATAGAGATTCCAAGAGTTGGAAGAGACCCCAGGGACCATCCAGTTCAACCCATAAGAACTAGATAGATAGATAGACAGATAGACAAGATAGATAAGGATAGGATCCTAGTTGGAAGACCCCAAAGGCCACCCATTCCAACCCATAAGACATAGATAGATAGATGATAGAATCCTAGAGTTGGAAGACCCCAAAGGCCACCCAGTCCAAGCCATGATATAGATAGATAGATAGATAGATAGATAGATAGATAGATAGATAGATAGATAGACAGAGATTCCCAGAGTTGGAAGGGACCCCAGGGACCATCCAGTCCAACCCATAAGAACTAGACAGATTGATAGACAGATAGAGCTAGAATCCTAGAGTTGGAAGAGACCCCAGTCCAGCCCACAAGACCCAGAGAGAGAGAGATGGCACCCTGGAGTGGGAAGAGACCCCGAGGGCCCCCATCCCCCATCTCCCCCCCCCCGCCCGAGCGCTGACCTGGCAGTCTTGGAGGCAGGCGCGGACGGAGTAGGCGCCTTGGTGGTGGTGGTGGTGGGCCTGGGGGAGGCGGGCGAGGAGGGCGGCGAACTCGGCGTGCTTCTCCCGCGCGTGGGCGTCGAGGCGGAGGTAGGCCTCGAGGCAGGCGGCGCAGGCGGGGGCCCAGTCCCCGAGCGGGGGCCCCTGGGGGCCTTGGTGGGCCGGGCGCGGGCGGAGGAGGAGGGCGGCGCAGTCGAGCCCCTCGGGGCGGGCCATCCCGTGGAGCAGGTCCCAGAGGCTGTAGGCGGCGCAGAAGGGCAGGCGGAAGGCCGCCAGGTCGGGGGGCGCCGCCGGGGAGAGGCCGCACACCGCCTCCGGGTCCAGCTCCGGGCCTTCCGCTTCCGCTTCCCCTTCTGCGGAGGCGAGGAAGAGCAGGAGGAGGAGGAAGAGGAGGAGGACTAGCAGAGGCAGCGGCGCGGAGAGCGCCCGGCGGCAGCGACAGCGGGAGCGGGGTCTCCCTCCTGGTCTTGCTCTGCCTCCGCCTGGAGCGGGGCGCATCCTCCCCCGCGCCGGAGGGGCCTCAGCTCCTACTTCCGCTCCCCCTGCCCCCGCCCCTCCCCGGCGCCGGGGCCCCCTCCATGGCGCCCCCTCCCTCTGCCCCTCCCCCTCCCCCTCTCCCTCTCCGCCGCCGCCGCCGCCCTCCTCCTCCTCCGCCTCCTCCTCCACCGCGCCCAGCCTCCCCTCCCGCGGCTAAGGGCCTCTTCCTCCTCCTCCGCCGCCTCCTCCGCCTCCGCCGCCGCCGCCTCCTTGTCCGCTTCTGCTGCTGCTGCTGCTGCTGCTTCCGCCGGCACTTCCGCGCCGCGCATGGTGCTCCTCCGGCGCCCAAGACCCGCCGGTGCCCCTCACCATGGCCGGCCAGCAGGAGGAAGGGGAAGCCGGAAGAGGAAGGGGAAGAGCCCGCCACGCATCCCCTTCCTCTCCCGAGGATCCTCCTGTGCCAAGGCCCCGAAGGGAGGAAGAGCAGGAAGGAAGGAAGACCAGGAAGACAGGCAGGAAGGCAGGCAGGCAGGAAGGAAGGCCCACCTTCACCGGGAGGGAGGGAGGGAGGGAGGGAGGGAGGGAGGCGCGCGCCCGCCCGCCCGCCGGCCCGGGAGGAAGAGGAAGAGGAAGGGGAGGGAAGAGGAAGGGGAGGGCTTCCCGGGTGCTGAAGGACAGCTCCGCCTCAGCAAAGCCAGCCCAGCCAGGCCGCGGCGCCCGGGCTTCAGGACCCTGGAGAGCTCCCTCCAGCAAGGCAGGCAGGAAGGAAGGAAGGAAGGAAGGCAGGAGAAGAGGCGCCGGAAGAGCGTCATCGGGCTGCTGTTCTGGGGAAACTCTGTAGGTGTCTGTACAGCCCAAAGGGACACCACCCAAGCCCTCCCGACAGAGAGCCATCCACACCCTGCTCCATAACATCATCATCATCAACAACAAGAACAACAGCTATTATTATTCTCAGCCAGTGTCCCTCCACCGCCTTCCTCTGGGTTCCCTGTCCGTCCCCCTCATCATCATCATCATCATCATCATCATTATCACAACAACAACAACGTTTCTCAGCCTTCCTCTGGGTTCCCTGTCTATCTCTCAGATCACATAACAACAACAACAACAATATAGAATTCCAGAATTAGAAGGCACCCCCAAAGAGAGCCATCCAGCCCAACCCTCTTCTCTTTGCCAGGCAGGGAAAGCACAGCCCGACCCCTCCCAACAGAGGGCCATCCAGCCCCTGCTCAATAATAATAATAATAATAATAATAATAATAATAATAATAATAATGAATCCTAGAATTAGAAGGTACCCCCCAAAAGGGCTGAAGCCGAGCATGACCCCCCCCCCCAACAAGGGATGGTGACTTATAGTTCTGCAAAGGTACCAGGCTGCACAATAGGGGTTAAGTCTTGGTCAATTTGTCAAGGCTTTAACAAACAATGAGGACCCCATGAAACTTTGGGAATGGCTGGACCTTGGGGTCTCTGCCTATCTCTCAAGAGAGAGCTGTAGTTTTCCAAGGACTATGGGACCGGCTTCCATCCCAGCGCTGCAGGGCTTTGCGTCTTGACCCAGTGGAACTCCATAGACTCCCTTTGGTGGCTTTTTGAATTCTGCTACATTCCTGGACTTCACTCTCTTCAAGGACTCGCTCTCTACCCATGAACTTTCTTCAAGACAACTTATGAATTCATGCTGTGTCCTGATATCGTCTGCTTTTTATAATTGGTATTATTAATCTCTCTCTCTGGGGTCCTGGATGGGAAGATAGCTGCATATGATTTCCCTGTGTATAATTTCTATATGGTTTTTATGTTTCCTTGTATTCCTGACCCTTTGCCCTTCTCCCTCCAAAGAAATATGTAAGGGAACCACCTGGCCTAAACAATTGTTTGACAAAAGTTTCTGTAAGATAAGGGGAAACCTTCCCCTCTGCTTTTTGTTTACTTCCCATTGATAGCATTAACCCCAGGCATTGTTCCCCTGTCTCACAGCCAGGAAGGACACATGTTGATTCACAACACTCAAAGCAGCCCTGTATGGGCTCTTTGTCTCACAGAGCACATGGCATTCCTTTGTTTAAAGATTTATTTATTTATTTACTTCATTTGTATACCGCCATTCTCAGCCCTAAGGCGACTCATAGCGGTTTACAACAATCAAGCAAAACAAGGCAAGCAAAACAAGGCAAACAATCAAGGCAAAAATTCAATGCGGTATCAACAGGTACTTAAAAACAGTTAGCACAGAAGCAAGTTAAACACTTTAACAATAATAGACAATCAGTCAATTGGCGTCTCATAACTAGAATCATGATCCAAACTCGTCAGTCGTAGTTCCATTTCCTGAAATTCATTGCACTGTTTATTCAAACACCTGTTCGAATAACCAGGTCTTCACTCTTCTCCGGAATACCATCAATGAGGGAGCCAATCTGATGTCCGTGGGAAGGGCGTTCCACAGCCGAGGGGCCACCACCGAGAAGGCCCTGTCTCTCGTCCCCGCCAGCCGCGCCTGCAATGCAGGCGGGATCGAGAGCAGGGCCTCCCCAGAAGATCTCAAAGTCCTAGTGGGTTCATAGGTGGAGATGCGATCGGACAGGTAACTTGGGCCAGAACTGTTTAGGGCTTTATAGGCCAAAGCCAGCACTTTGAATTGGGCCCGGTAGCAAATTGGCAGCCAGTGGAGCTGGCGCAACAGAGGGCTTGTATGCTCCCTGTGTGCCGCCCCTGTTAGTATCATGGCTGCCACATGCTGGACCAGTTGAAGCTTCCGAGCCGTCTTCAATGGCAACCCCACGTAGAGAGTGTTGCAGTAGTCTAAACGGGATGTAACAAGAGCGTGGACTACCGTGGCCAAGTCAGACTACAGTTTAAAGATCCCTTCCCAGATTCCTTTGTGTTCCATCATCCCGCCTCCATCTCTCCTGATTGGCTGTCGCCACCAGGTGGCAGAGGTCTCCCCATTGGATCCTACGGACCACTGGAGCTTCCTGATTGGTCCAGAGGCACCGGGGGTGGGAGGGCCGCCTCCCAGGTGTCCGCCCATCACCCAATCACAGCAGGGAACAACAGGGAAGCCGGGGCGGGGAGTTTGAACTCTGCAAATTTGAATTTACTATAAATATGACTGCATTGGTGTAATCTCCTCATGCTCTGCTGGCGAATGATTGCAGCTTTGCATCCGTTTCAGCTGAATCGCATTAAACTTCGATGGCCTTTCTTCAACTGGTGAGACTTTTCATTGGGAAATCAGGGAAAAATATGGGATGCTTCTCTGTCTCGCCAGGGAAAAAGAACTCTTTGAGGAGGCAAAGACCCCTAAATTTTAGCTCTAGAAAAGGGCCATCCAGCCTAACCATCTTCTTTTTGCCAGGCAGGGAAAGCACAGCCCGACCCCTCCCAACAGAGGGCCATCCAGCCCAATCATCTTCTCTTTGCCAGGCAGGGAAAGCACAGCCTGATCCTTCCCAACAGAGGGCCATCCAGCCCCTGCTCAATAATAATAATAATAATAATAATAATAATAATACATCCTAGAATTAGAAGGGCACCCCCAAAGAGGGCCATCCAGCCCAACCCTCTTCTCTTTGCCAGGCAGGGAAAGCACAGCCCGATCCCTCCTAACAGAGTGCCATCCAGCCCCTGCTCAATAATAATAGTAGTAGTAGTAATAATGAATCGTAGAATTAGAAGACACCCCAAAGAGGGGCATCCAGCCCAACCATCTTCTCTTTGACAGGCAGGGAAAGCACAGCCCGATCCCTCCCAATAGAGGGCCATCCAGCCCCTGCTCAATAGTAGTAGTAGTAGTAGTAGTAGTAGTAGTAGTAATGAATCATAGAAATAGAAGACACCCCAAAGAGAGCCATACAACCCAACCCTCTTCTTTTTGACAGGCAGGGAAAGCACAGCCCAATCCCTCCCAACAGAGGGCCATCCAGCCCCTACTCAATAGTAATAATAGTAATAGTAATAACAATAGAATACTAGAGTTAGAAGACACCTCGAAGAGGGCTATCCAGGCCAATTCCCTTTTTTTCTTCCAGGCAGGGAAAGCCCTGCTCATTAGCATTATTAAGCCCCCACTTAATAATGATGATGATAATAATGATGATGTTGATGAGGATGATGATAATCCTAGAGTTGGAAGACACCCCAAAGGGGGACATCCAGCCCAACCCCATTTTTTCTGCCAGGCAGGGTAAAACACAATCCAATCCCTCTCAGCAGATGGACATTCATCCTGTTGCACTCCAGAACAGGAATAACCCTCTGACTTCAGAACACCACACATTGAGTAGGAAAACAATCCTTTTTTATTGAAGATAAGTAAAAGCAGCAAAGTAGAAAAAGCACTTTAAGGGAATTGACAAATCCAATTAGGTAAGAAGATAAGCAGGAACAAATTAGTCCAAGGTATGGTTCAGCAAAGTTCAAAAACAAAGTCCAGACTTCTCCAATGAAATCCAAAGAAACAGGGAAACGTTGAGGCATGAGTATGTAATCACAAGAGACAAAGAGTCAAACTATACAGCAAGAAATCCTCAAACATGAATCTTCCAAGCAAGGCTTTCATGAGACAAGAGCAAGAACTTAGCAGGATTCTGAAACGATGCTTCATCTAACTATATTTCCCAGGGTTGGAACTTGATATCCCCCCGTTAAGCCATTCCAAGCACTTAGAAGTTGTTTTTGTTTCCCTGAATGCCTCTCATCCTTATCTGTCAAAGCCTGGCAGAACGCCAAAGGCCTTGGTCGAGCTGTCTGTTTTGGCTAATTTCCACCCGCCTGCCTATATGCTCATTAGTTTCTTCAGGTGCCGAGTTGTTTTCAAGCCCCAAATCCTGGGAACTCTCTGGGAGCAATTCAGGGAGTAAACCATCATCCCTAGGAACATTCTCTTGGGAAACTACACTTTGAACACGTGTCTCTATGTAACTGGTTCTCAGCCTTCCTAATGCCATGACCTGTTAATACAGTTCCTCATCTTGTGGCAACTCCCAACTATAAAATTATTATTTTTTGGTCCTTCATAACTGTAATTTTACTACTGTTATTATTTGTAATATAAATATTTGAAATG